ATATAGGCTTATAAACTCTTATAATCTAATATATTATTAGTAAATAAGATATTACTATAAACTTTAAATTTATTTCTTTCTCTAAATTATAAAACTAGATAATAAGTAATATATAAGTAATTTAAGATATAGTTTATTACTTTATAATATTATTAGCTAGAATTAGCTATAAATCTAGCTAGCTAAAAGATTATAAAGGTAATATTTAGTTTTAAAATAACTACTATATATAGAATTAATCTAATTACTTACTTATACTAATTAGCTATCTTAAGATTTATAGTTAAATTATTTAATAAAAGTTTAGTTTTATTTATTAATATTTAATTTCTACTTTCTAAGGTTTATAAACTATATATTTTTTCTAAATATATAGTCTATATTATTTATAAGTATAATAAACTATAGTTTTAAATAATCTCTATCCTAAGGAACTATTAAAGCTTATTTCTATCTATTAGAATATATTTCTCTTTTAGAGTTTTAATTATAGCTTTTATAGTAGTTTTATTATTCTTTTTATATATAATAATAATATTATCTATATAGAAGAATAAGAGGATTTCTAACTTAGTATAATAATATAGCTTATAAGGAATTAGTATAAAATTTAAACTTTATAATATTAATCTAAGCTCTATTTATTATAATAAAGATATAATTTATAGTTTATATAGTACTTTCTTTAGTAATAAAATATATAATTTCTTATTATATTTTCTATAACTAGATAGTATTTATATAAATATATTATTAAGTAGATTAGTATTTATAAATATATTTATTATATTAAATTATAGTATTTTAAGATTAAACCTTATAATTAATATTAAAAGGGTTCTAAAGAACTTACTAGCTAATATTATAATATAGGTTTTTTTAATAGTAGTTTTTTACTATTAATCTCTTTAAATAATAAACTAGGCTTTATATTTCTAAAGATATTTATACTTATTAAATTTATAAATATATTTCTATATATAGTTTAATATTTATAAGTTTTAAATATATAGATTAAATCTTAAAATCTTAATTTAAGTATTTATTTTCCTATAGTTCTTTAAGTAATTAATTTTAATTAGTTTAAACTTTCTTTTAAATTTATACTCTTTAAAGTCTTTTAGTATATTAGAGGTAGTTAGTAACTATCTTCTATAATATATCTTATCTAGAGAAATAAAAGATTTATAAGAAATTTAAACTTTAATTCTTAGTTTTAACTTTCTATATTTATATCTATTATATATAATCTTAGTTTAAATCTTATTCTAACTCTTTACTAAAGGAATAATTAGAATTATAGTATAAAAGGTTTAATTAAGCTTAATTAATAATTTCTCTAAGAATTTAAAATATTATAATTAGTTTTCTAATTTAATTAAATTTATTAGGAGGATTATAATTAAACTTTTAGATAGTATTAGAAGAGATATAAAGTAATATATAAGGTATTTATTATCTTCTATATACCCTTCTTCTTCTAATAGTTCTTTATCTATTTCTAGATTATTAATTAGTTATTTAAGATTTATTTCTTCTATCTTAAGTTTATCTTCTTATTAGGTTAGCTTTATAATTTAATTAATCTATTTAGATCTAAGTATTAATTAGAGCTTTTTTTAAATTTACTTTAGGGTTAAATTCCTAATAGTTTCTTATATTTAAACCTTATTTATATTAAATAAGACTTTTTTATTAAAAATTATATCCCTAGTAAAGTAGATAGTATTAATAATTAGGTTTTATATTTAAAAGATATTCTAAGAATTATATCTAATTAGATAATTTATTTAAGTTCTAAGGTTTAATTAAAATCTTTTTCTTTAAATCTTTAATTAGATTATTTTATTTATTATAAATACTTTATAATTAATTATCTTAAGATAGAAAATCTTAGGTTAAGTTTAGGCTTTATAATTAGTAGTTAGTATTATTAAAAAGAAGCTTTTATATAGGGTTTTCTATTTAAGTTTTACCTTAAAGGTTTAATTTAAGAGATATATAGTTATTCTTACTAATTCAGATTATAATTATTTAGATAAGTTATTATTAATAGCTAATAGTTTTACTTTTTTTTTTATTACCCTCTTAGAATATTTATCTAAACTATTCTATTATTAAATATAAAAGATATACTTTTCTATACTAATAATCTTATTATTTAAGAAAATATAGATAAAAGAGTTTTTCTAAAGTTTATTATCTATTTCTAAATATCTAATTATTACTTTATATCTAGTTTTAAGTATTTAAATAAGATATATTAGTATTTAAAGAATACTTTAGTTCTTATAATCCTTAAAGTAATAATCCTAGATAAGATTAGAGTTCCTATCTATTATAATTATATATAACTTATAGCCTCTAATTCTTTCTTTAAAATTATAAAAATTAATTAATAAATACTTTCCTAGATTTAAACTTTTTTTTCTTAGTTTATAGTTCTCTTAGTATTTTATCTTTACTAGTTTATATATATTATATTTAATAGTTATTAAGCTAATTATTTATATTCTATTTATTAAAATTACTAAATATTTAAATAATCTTAGCTTTAAATACTCTAAGTATTAGTACTATTATATTAAATCTTCTTTATTAGAGTTTTTTTTCTAAGTTATATATTAAAATTAAAATACTATAAATATAGTTTATATTAGAATTTCTAAGTTATATTTAAAAATATACTAATTATAGTAATATTCTAACTTATATAATATTAATCTACTATTATATTTAATAAGATCTTTATTATTCTTTTAATCCTATTAGTAGCTTTATTATTATAGTTTAAATAGAAAGATTAAGTTAGCTCTAATTATTAGGTAGTAGGCTATATATTTAAAATAGAATAAATATAGTTAATTTTTTTTATTTTAAATTTAAATAATAATTTTTCTATATCTAAGAATTAAAAAGCTAGTTAAATTAATAAAAACCTATTTATTATTAGTAATCTATTTAAACTTATAAAATCTCTCTTTATTATTAAATAGATATAGTATTATAGCTAAATTAAAAAGAACTAAATATCTTAATAAATAAATATTATTCTTAATAAGAAATATTATTATTATACTTAATATATAGTTTTAAATAGCTAGTTATTAATTCTATTCTGAGTTTAATATAATAAGCTTATTATAAAGCTTTTATACTTTAGGAATTTTTTTTAAATATTTTATTTATTTATTAGATCTAGATCTTTCTCTATTAAGATAGGGAAATAGGTTTTTAGAAAATAATAACTAGTAGTTTCTTATATTAGTACTTTTATATTTCTTACTATAAAGAATATAATTAGATTTATTATTATTAGCTTTCTTTTACTATTTATTTTTATATTTAGTAATTTCTCTTTTTATTTTATACTTTTACTTTTTATCTAGTAGATTATCTTTTTAGAATATTAATTTAAACCTATTATTTTTAGTAATCTTTTAAAATTTAGAATCCTTATTTAAACCTTCTTTATTATCTTAATATTCTAATTTCTTTCTAAAGATATTTATAAATACTACTATTTTATATATACTACTTTCTATACTCTTCTTATACTTAATTTTTTAGTTTTAAATTATTAATTTAAATCTTAGATTTAAATATTTTTAAAGATTATAGAACTAATTACTTAAGTTCTTTAAGAAAGTAATATCTCTAATTTTAATAATATTTATTATCTACTTCTAATTATTAATTTAGACTTTCTAATTATTTTTTAATTTCTAAGTCTGAATTAGTATTTTAAAATACTCTTTCTAAGTATATATCTTTTTTTAAGGGTTATCTACCCTATATATAGTTTTTAAGTTCTTATAGAAAAGATAAATATTATTATTTACTTTCTTATTAATCTTTAATAGAAAGTAGGTTTAAATATAATAGTTATTTATATATTCTATAATCTATCTAGATATATTATATAAGCTTTTAATCTTCTTATTAAATTTAGTAAGATCTATATAATATACTATTTATTTAATTTTATAGGCTTTCTTATCTTTATTAAGAAGGTTTATAAATATCTTTATAGATTAATTTCCTTTAATAAAACTTAATTTACTAATTTCTAATATAAATTAGATTTTTACTTTATAATCCTTAAAATCTAACTTTTTAGATCTTTTAAGCTTAGTATTATTATATTTATCTAAGCTATTTACTAGTATTAGATATAGAATAAATTTATTAGAGATCTTAATTAAAAAAGCTTATTTAAAGATATTCTAATTATTTAGATTATTTAATTTAGAAGATATTTTAAATACTTTTATAGTAAGTATTTACTATTTAATTAAATTAAATATACTTAGTTTTACTAATTTAGTATTTATATTTATAGTTATAGCTATCTTAAAGAAGTATAACTCTAAAACTCTTAATTATTAGATTCTTTATAGTAAATAAAATAAAAATTATATATTATATTTAGTTAAATTATATAGCTCTAGGATTTCTAAAGGGGATAAATTATATAAATTACTATATACTTCTCTTTTAAGCCTAATACTCTTCTAATCTAGGAAAGGAGATATATTTATAGTAAACTGACCTTGATTCTGACTAAGCGTATTGGATTGCATGATCCCCGGCTCTAACAGTAATTAAGGGGGGTAGGCGATTGACTAGGGTGGCGACTTAATTGGGGAAAAAAAAACGAATCAGCTTCTTAGCGCCTTGCTGGGTGATGGCACAATACCACAAATGTAGATCAGCTTGGCGATGCTTTCTGTGGGAAAGTTCACCTCCTAGATGTATTCTCAGGCCTTCGTCGAGGATCACCTTTATGAGGGGCACTGTGAGTAATAATCCTTTATCAGACTGGCTTTTATTTGTGAGACAACTCATCTTCTGATCAACTCGATTTGCTTTTTCTTATGAGAGAGAAAACTAGGGTTCCTATACTAGCTAGGCATTGCACAGCTTCACTTGTCGAGTAACCTTGTTCAAAAGGGGATATGATGACGAAGTGTTAGTGCTTGCATGTACTGCCATGAGATTCACATTCTCGACATGATTTTATCTTGCGCGACTGCTAGAATCCTTTCCTGCTGCAGCTTGTTGAGTTCCCTTCGCAAAGTCTTGCCTGATGGACTTTTTGGAATAGCTGTGACAATTGCAATCTCTTTGATGGCCTTCTCCCGGCTCGACTCCTTCTTGCTGAACGCCAGGAGCTTCTCTGCAGTCACAACTGGATTTAGACTTGAATTTGCCATGACAACAAAAGCCTTTGGGCGTTCTCCAGCTCGCTCATCAGAGATGCCACAGACTGCACAGTCTTGAACAGCAGGATGGCCCAAGAGGAAGTTCTCTATTTCAGCTGGGGCAACACCAACACCCTTGACCTTGATCATTTCTTTGATTCGGTCTGTGATACTCAAGAAGCCTTCCTCGTCAACGTTACCGATGTCGCCTGTGTGAAGAAATCCGGCCTGGTCGATGGTATCGGCTGTTGCTTCTTGGTTATCAAGATATCCCATGACAACTTGCGGCCCTCGAACCCATATTTCTCCGGCTTCGCCAACACCACAGATCTGGCCGGTTCCCGGATCAACAATCTTGACTTCGGTTGAAGCAACGATCATGCCCACTTTCGAGCCGTATTTGTAAGCGTACTTCGTAGGTGGATGAGAACAAATTGCCGAAGTTGATTCTGTCATACCGTATGCTTGCTTGAAGCCCGTCTGGGGGAATTGCTGCTCTAACCGTTTCAATATCTCGTTCGGGAGCGGCGCAGCACCTGTCGAGAAGCGACGAAGATGGGATAAGTTGTATTTTGCCACAATATGAGGCTGTTGGACTAGCCGTACGAGAATTGGAGGAACTGTGAGCAGTTCCTTGATTTTGTTTTCCATCACTATGCGAAGCATGTCCTCGAAATTGAACTTGGGAAGAATGTAGACATTGGCTTGCAGCAAGATTGGGAGGTGCAGCTGATGAATTATCCCCGTGATATGGTTGTATGGTAGTGCAGCGAGAATCTTGTCGTGGTCTACTGGCGTGATCTGCTGGATCTGAAGACATTGCGCTATGATATTCGCGTGGGAAATCATGACGGCTTTTGGAAGCCCCGTTGTACCGCTGCTGAAGCAAAGAACTGCGCATACGCTGTGATTTGTTTTGGCACTCGGGACCCGGTAGACCAAGGCCTGATCTTCTGGGCAATATGTCTTTCCGATCGCTGCCACGTCTTGTATGCTGTTCGTTTCGAAAGGGTCCGAACTCGCGTCCACTCGTCGACGTCCTAATAGAAAGATATTACGTCGAGGGACGCCGAGTTTTTCAGCGGCTGCCTGAGCCCCATTGATGAGTTCCACACTGGTGAATATAACTTTCGGTCGAGCTAGATTCAGGCCATGCATGAGCTCATCAGCTGTATAGTCTGGAGAGATTGGACATGCCATGGCCCCGATGCGCACAGCCGACAACATGGCAACAGGATACCATATCGAGTTTCTCGAATAGACTGCAACCACATCGCCTAGGCCGACATTAAGCTCCTTAGACAGGAACGTAGACACGTGAGTTGTCAACTGCGCCAGATCACTCAGGCTGATGTGTTCCTGGGTCATGCCATCTGTGAATCCTCTGTGATCCAAATGAGGAGATCTGTTGTGTTCGAACAACCACGACCACAAGTTGACATCTTCCGGGACTGAGTTTCAATGTCAGCTCTACTGTTCTCCCGATCAGCAAAGAAATACGAACCGTGAACCCGTGGATGTTGTGAGGTGAATATCATTGGGTCAGTACGTAGCAGATGGCCAGTTGATGTGAAGTCCCAGGTCCGGCTCCCAGACTATTGCGCGACCGCAATTGTTCTAATAATCACCAACATACGCCTCTGTTACCTGCCCTTCATTTAGTTGCGTTTGTCCGCCTCGGTTACTTGCCTGCGCATTGACCGGCGTTGTCCCACCGGTTTGCCGCGGGATCGGGTGCTCGATGTTCTCAAAGTCATCGAGGCAGCCGCTTAACCTCGGTCTGATTAAGGATGTTAAATTAGGAATGTACTATCTTGAGGAGGTCTAAATAGAACAAAGCGAAGCAATTTGACTCGATTAGTTGATCGCGAGATAGGTAATGTGAGATGAACGTGGAATGACACAATTGACGGCCAATATGACGATGAATGGATTTCCGACAGAGCTCTGGCGGCCAGCAAATGTCAGTGGTCGAACAGGCTTCATATGGATGTAGCACGATGGTAACAAGGTCTATGATAAATTTGGATAACAGAGTAAACGCGCTGTTCTAGGGACAATTACTCATATTGATCTTAGTCATTACCCCATGACAATCAACAAAAACCTCGGACAGACACTTGATCGAACCTCCATCCGCCGGAGCCCCAAGATGCAAAACCATCCCATATCTGCTCACTCACCACCCCCCCGTGAGACATTCTATGTGTTGAAGATCATAGAACATAACGGAAGTAGGGACTACGATCACCAAGCTCCATAAGCTCCCTCTCACTGACCGCAGCCCGGCTTTCCTCGGACATATTGTCCCTTTCGATATTCTCACGATGGTACGCCCAACGGAGCACCAAAGTTGAGATGATCGAACACACAAGGATTCCCAAACAAAACCCGTAGCCAGTCCAGTACCGCGGTTGTTCATTCTCAAGGAATATGTTGCTTCCAATGATACCGCCAAGATTGCCGCCAGAGATTAAAGCAGCCATGCCGACTGCGCGTTTGCTGGATGGCGCCATGTTGTTGCCTGAAATCAATATCAGCAATGCTCTCGTGTCATAGTTGACTGAGTCTTACCAATCCAGCATATGGTTGGGACAATAAACGAATAAAGACCACTGGCAGCTAAGAATATAAAGCCATAGGTAAGGCCCGGTAGCTCGGGTTTGGGACTGGCAAGCAGTGCGATAAACCCCAGACTGGCAGCTGCACAACCTCCTATGATGTAAGAAGACCGATTCTGTTGCCTGTCCGATGCTATAGACGCGACAGTGGCACATATCATAGCGCAGACATATATAGGGATTGTCAACAGTTGCTATTACATGTCAGAACGCACTTTGAGCTCCATTGCTTTGAAACTTACAGCGTTGGCAGCACTGTAGCCGAGTTCTCGGATGACTGTGGGGATGGTGAAGGCGAACCTTTGAAGGAATCAGTGTGTGCCGGCTTCATTGGGCTAACATTGAGAACTTACGCATAGACACCAATACTGTTTCCCCAGTAAATGATCTAAGATGCATCTATGTCAATCCAAGCCCTTGCTGGTTGCTGGGAATTTGAAAAACTTACTACGGCAATATAAATGCGCCAGTCCTTCAATGCATCCAGTACGTGACGACCAGATATCTTATCATCGTTGGTCACCCTTCCTCGACTCGACCCAGTCTCGTTCTCCAAACGAAGGATGAGAAATCTTTTCTCCTCCTCAGTCAGGAAGCTGGCCGTTGCGGGGCTGTCTGGCAACAACCAATATAAAGGCAGAGCAACGAAGACTGTTGCTATACCTTCAAGAATAAAGATCCTAGTCTGCGTTAGCGGGAGACGGAAGCAAACGTGAAGTAAAATCTATGAATAACTCACCATGCCCAACCACCCAGCCCGGCAACTCCATCCATATGCTGGATCGCAAATGCCAGCAGGCCAGAAAATGCGCCTGACAAAGATGCGCCTGCAAAGAAGATGATCATTCGTGTTTGAACCTCGTAGCGCTTATACCATATGGTAAGGAGGTATGTAGCACCAGGAAAGAATCCTGCCTTGTTGCTCTTAGCACAGTTCATGTTGATTTTCTCTCGGCATACAATCACTTACTTCGGCAACACCCAAAAAGAAGCGTGCAACAACAAGTCCTTCGAAATTTTTCACAAGCCCCATGCAAGTTAGAACAACTCCCCATGTTAGCACAATTGAGGGCAGCCAGAGACTTGGTTTGGTCAATTTGAGAATAACGTTGCATGGCACTTCGAACAAAGCGTATGGAATGAAGAAGACGGTCAATGCGATGTTGTATTGAGCGCCGGTCAGACCAAGGTCTTGGTTCATCCCTGCAACCTTGGCATTACCAACTTTGAAATGTCAGCAAGAACTTCACCAAGCTGGGATCTGGAAACAAACTGTTTGATCGATCGATAAATGCCAGCAAGTACATGACGGTTAAAGCTGGCACGAGCCTTATATCAACCTTTCTTAGGATTCGGCGAGTCTCGGCCTCATCATACTGCTGACTTGTGTCCGTGGCTCTAGGATCAGCTGTTGCTTGTGCCTCCACGGATTCGATATGCTCTTCGTGAGATTTCTGCATCATTACAGTTGATAAATTGTACCATGAGTAAGTTATGAACGTGTAGGAAGAGATGAATGGGTCTTAATTATATACGGACTTAGCAGCCATAGGACATTGTACGGCGTAAATGTATGAGCGACTAGCTTCGGGGTAATGGAGTGATGGTCATTTACACTGCCCACCTCGCAACAGGGGCGTCCTTGACGGCGCGGGGTGCATTATCTGGCTAGTCTCCAAAAGGTCCGAGGTTAAGGCTACATGTGGGAGATCGTGGGGAGATCTTAGTAAATGGAGCCGTGGTTATTGAAGGCTTCTCGTCTAGAGTCGTTACTCCGTAGCACTCAAATTCGACCTCGCAACTAAGCAAATCAAGTCCATGATGGACAACATACGCGTAGAACCTATCTTGATATATGTAGTGAACAGAGAAGACTGCACATTAAGTAAGGATAGAGCGAAGCCATCCAAATACGCTTTTGCTTTAGTCGAGACGTCAAGAGTGTTCCCTTCAACCCAAGGGAAACATACTGTGCCGCGCGAGATTTGCCCAACTCAAGCCGTTTCATTGGGCCCTGGCCCGTGGCCCGAACCCGAGGTAGAGTTTAGGAATCACATTTCTCTACCGATAGATCGCCGAGATACCTTTCTTCTACTCGGCACAATCTTCTCCCACACGTTCCCACACACTCACTGTATCCTCGGTACGGGACATATAGATCCTATCTTCTAACAACCTGCTCTGTCCTCTTGTCTTCGCTCCCCGCCACAATCTTTTCGTACCTAACACAAGACTGGTGACTTTCAAGTTTTCTGTTTTGATCACTGAGCAACGTGCACAACGCAAACCTTTAAACACCGATAGAAAATATGTCTGCTCCAACTGCATCTCTTATTGCGCCAAACGGCAAGAGAATCGAGCTGCCGACTGGGCTGTTTATCAACAACCAATTCGTTAGGTCCTCTGGAGACACCAAACTTACGAGTATCAACCCTTCCGATGAGTCTATCATTGCCGAAGTCGAGGCCGCTTCGGAGCTGGATGTCGACAAAGCTGTGAAAGCTGCTCGCGCGGCGTTGAACTCACCCGAATGGGCCGAAATATCTGGTACCGAGCGTGGCAATTTCATCTACAAATTGGCCGATCTTGTCCACGATGCTCGTGAAGATCTCGCCACGCTTGAGACATGGGATAACGGCAAGCCCTACCATATATCCCTCGACCACGACGTCGCCGGGGTTGTGGCCTGCTTGAAGTATTACGCAGGGTGGGCTGATAAGATTCATGGGCAAACAATACCCACGCACAGCAGCAAATTTGCCTATACCTTGAAGCAGCCTGTTGGAGTATGTGGCCAGATCATTCCCTGGAACTTCCCTCTCGCAATGGCGGCCTGGAAGCTTGGGCCTGCCCTCGCTTGCGGCAACACAGTTGTGCTCAAACCAGCTGAGCAAACACCCATCTCGGTCCAACTTTTTGCTTCCCTTATTATCAAGGCTGGCTTTCCACCAGGTGTTATAAATATCGTTAATGGCTATGGCAGCGAAGCTGGTGCTGCTATTGTGAAGCACCCTGATATAGACAAAATTGCGTTCACTGGTTCGACCCCCACCGCCCGCAATATCATGCGTACCGCCAGCGTGAATTTAAAGAATATCACACTCGAAACCGGGGGCAAGTCTCCCCTTATAGTGTTCGAAAATTCCAATATCGAAGAGGCGGTCAGATGGGGTCATCAGGGTATCTGTTACAACGGAGGCCAAGTTTGTACAGCCACATCTCGTATTTTGGTGCAAGAGAACGTGTACCAGAGGTATATTGAGCGGTTCAAGGAGCAAATTCGCCAATACAACGTTGGTGAGCCGTGGCTGAAGAACACATTTCAAGGTCCGCAAATTACTAAAGTCCAATATGAGAGGATTCTAAACTACGTTGAAAGCGGAAAGTTGGAAGGGGCAAAGCTTGTTATGGGCGGAAACCCGGTGAAGAATGTCGGTAATGGAAAGGGATTCTTCCTCGAGCCCACCGTCTTTATTGACGTCAAAGAGAACCATAAGATTTTCCAAGAAGAGGTCTTCGGCCCATTTGTCTCCATCACCCCATTCTCGTCTGAAGCAGAGGCTGTCAGGCTCGCCAATAGTACCGTATTTGGCCTGGGTGCTTCGATTTTCTCACTTGATATCCGCCAATGCCATCGGGTTGCCGCTCGCCTACAATCCGGCATGGTCTGGATCAATAGCTCCAATGATTCTGACTTTAGAGTACCGTTTGGCGGCGTGAAACAAAGTGGAATTGGTAGGGAGCTGGGTGAGGCTGGTCTTGCCGCTTACACACAGACGAAGGCTATACATGTCAATATGGGAGTCACAGTTTGAAGGGCACATCGGGTGGTTAGGTTCTTTTATTCTTTCATATCTCAACAAAAATACCAAATTCAGTTATAAACCAAGTGTCTTCTTCTACGCTAAGCCATTGTGCTGTATTATCAACATTGGACTTTGTTGAGATCTGAATGCAAACCATTGTTTGCCAACTTGATCACGCCGCTCATAGATATTTTGGCTCTCCATAAGTTCTGGTTTATTCGATGTAATACAATAAGCAAGAAGGTCTGCCAGATTCGTAAAAATGAACACGCATACACCGATAATTCTCACACATGATAGAGCTATTACGCCACGTATTTAGTCGGCTTCCGTATACTGCCACGTTTACAGTGAGAAGCAAAGCACTATACCTAACATACAAGGCAGCATTGATGAGCCTCACTCTTGCGACGACTCATATCTAAACTGGGAAACCATAAGTGATACTATGCAAAGGATCTCATTGCCCAGGGCAATTCCTGTGTTTACCATGGCGTCCAACTCGCTACGGTATCCGGGAAACAAAAAAGGACGTAATAGTCGATCAGTGGTAGTAGACACAAAGTCTGATCAACAGTTTCCCTTCAGGAGAGTAAAACTTTGTCGGTTGAAATTAACAGTTGGTGCTGATATGTCAATAGGCCGACACCGGCACTATCCGAGCACCAATTGCCTACCCAGTTTGGTAAGAAAAATACCCCCTGACAGCTCGGCGAGAAGCAACCAGTATGTGGGCGGAGTGTTTGTTGGTGCTCGTGGCCGGCATCAAGGCCATGGAACCGTTACGCCGAACCCAGCCTCGGACACGGCGTAGTTCGCGAGCAATAACCGGTTAGGACAATGGTAGCCGGCAGACTGGGGACACGAACTCCCGATGTAGATTACAAGGGGTTTAAAGCCGTCAAACAAGCGCTCATACAACTGACTGCCACACTTCTCATCTGACGAATTACAGTCCATTCTTCAAGATGTCTACCAGAATTACCATTGCCGAGTACCTTTTCCGGCGCTTAGGCCAGTTGGGCGCCAAGTCTATCCACGGGGTTCCTGGCGACTACAACTTGCCGCTCCTGGACTACATTACTCCTGCCGGTTTACGTTGGATTGGTAATGCAAACGAGCTCAATGGCGGATACGCTGCTGATGGCTATGCCCGCATCAAGGGCATTGGAGCTCTGGTCACCACCTTTGGTGTAGGCGAGCTGTCGGCCATCAACGCGGTTGCTGGGGCCTACGTTGAGCGCAGTCCGGTCGTCCATATTGTTGGATGTCCTGCTAGATCTGCTCAGAAGTCGCAAGTTCACCTTCACCACACCTTCAATGATGGTGACTTTTCCCGCTTTGCCGCTATGCACAGTTATGCTACCATCGCCCAGGCAAAGCTATGGGACATCCGCACTGCCGCCGAGGAGATTGACCAGGTTCTTCGCCAGTGTGTGCTCCAAAGTAGGCCTGTCCACCTTCAAATCCCCGTTGATATGGGAGATGTTGAAATATCTGGCGAAAGGTTGCACACAGACCTTCTTGACACCACCCTAGGACCCATGAGCCTTGCTGACGCCGTCGTTGACGCAATCCTCGACAAACTATATTCTGCGAAGCGCCCCATTATCTTGATGGATGGGGAAGTCCGCGACCCGGAGGTGATTGAGTCTGCCTGTCGCATCATTGCCTCCACCAAATGGCCGACTTGGGTTACTTGTTTCTCCAAGGGCCTCGTGGACGAGACGCTCCCCAATGTCCACGGAATCTACCAGGGTGCTTTTGCCCCTGAAGCATCGCAGAAGGTCTTCAAGGAGTCTGACCTGATTCTCTGTGTTGGCCCGCATCTCAGCTCGGCCAATACCTTTACGTTCTCGGCTCTGCCTGATCCCAAGGTTACGATCTTCATCAACGACACCGACGTCAAGATTCTAGACGAGATCACTGAGGATGCGCCGGCCAAGTACGTAGTCCCTCGTCTGGTTGAAAGGCTCGACCAGAGTAGAGCTCAATCGCTGTATCAGCAATATCCCGCGCTGCCTAAGGATAGCGTGGTTCCATTCTCATCTCTGCCCAAGGACGAGCCAATCACTCAGGATAGGGTCTGGCGAGCACTGAGTAACATGTTCCGAGAAGGAGATGTAATTCTGGGTGATGTTGGCACAGCGGGCTATGGGCTACGGGATGTCATCTTGCCTCCTACCGCAAGGATCTTCCTTCCGGTCACCTGGCACTCTATTGGTGCCCAACTTCCAGCATCGCAGGGTGCGGCTTTGGCCCGGAGAGATATAGTTGAATCTGCCGGGGGCAAGGGGAGCACTCGCACCATCTTGATGATCGGTGATGGCAGCTTCCAAGTGACTGCTCAAGAATTGACCACAATCATCCGCCAGAACTTAGACGTGATTGTATTTCTGATCAACAACGACGGTTACACAATCGAGCGGGCCATCCATGGCTTGTCCGAGGAGTACAACGATATTGGTCGATGGAACTATCTCCTCGCGCCCGAGTTCTTTGGATCGCCCAAGGACAGTGTCCGGACGGCGACAGCGAGAACTTGGGGAGAGCTGGAGAGTGTTCTCAACGACAAGGACATCATCGATGGGAACGGACTTCGCATGGTTGAGATATTCATGGCGCGGGATGATTGCCCTGTTGGGCCGATGTCTATGTGGTTAGAGAAACAAAAGTCTAGAGTATCGAAGTAGTTACCAAGTCTATACTAAATGAACCTTAACACCTCTCCATTCGAAGTACACTCTGACCGAGCATCTTCTTGCACGATCAGCAGCCACAGTATTAATGCGACTTAATCAATTATGGGGCAATAGATTTACTATCCATTCAACACAGTTGCAGTGTGTTGAGTCGTTCTATAGTAGTTGGTCCATGACTTCAATCATCACGGATAAACGAAGGAGTGGTATAATCCGAATATTTCCTAATATCTCAGATACATAAAACGAAGAGAAGTGTCATCGGCGCCCACGCCACTCGAAACGTGCATTCTATTCAGTTCTTGCCTTCAAGTGTAGAGCAAAATTACAGGATAGCCGGCAAAGGTGCTTCTACAGTTTCTCTTATTGGTGTGTCTAAATCAGCCAGTTTGTGCAAAGACTGTTCTGCAGGAGTTATGGCAGGCTGTTCCTGTCCAAAAAGAAAGTCATCGAAGGTCCAGACGTCTCGACCGCTGTGCGGAGCCTTATCGGTAGGTAATTTTGGCTCGTCAGGAGCTGAGCTGGGGCTGTAAAATGTAGGTTTCGCAATGTCGCCAGCGAGATGCATGTAGATTTGTTCCTCGATATTGGCTAGAATGTGTGTATCCACTGAGAGCATTTCAAGTGGCATCAGACTGGAAATCCTCGCATTCTGCGACTTTTCATCGTCGGTTGGTGTATCAACGGCGGTCCTGTCAAAACCTACTATGAAGCTCGTGGGAGGACAATGGGCAGAGCTGGGTGTAAAAGGGGCCTCTTCTCTCAGTATTAACGGGAAATCACTATCTTTCGGAAGGCGGCCTTTGCTCAAACTGAGGTCAAGCGACAACGCCAGTCGCAGATAGAGGCGTGGCTGGAAGGCGAAGATATCCGACCAGTTCAGCTTGACCTGCCGGCTGCTGACTGTCGAGAGCTCTTTGAGTTGCGTGATCGAACTTGTGTGGTGGAGGATCTCTTTTATCCAGTCGACACCGTCATATCTTGGAGTATAAATGTCCATTACTTTGACGAGAATGTTGAGTTGCTCTTTCCTCAGCATTAGTGCTACATCATCAGAATCAGCAGAAGTTGAAAAGAGCTTTATATCGACAATGTTCAGGAATAGCGGTAGAAGAGCACATCCCACAGCACTAATGGGCAGCCACTGTGCCAGACCTCGCCTGATAAGGTCTCCATGATAGTCGGTGATCTTGGCAGTGGCATTCTGCAGATCGACCCGACTTCCTAAAATTATGGACATTCCTCTTGTTGAAACATCGATCGCATTATCGCTTTGTAACACCTCTAGATAAAGCGAGTTGTGGCAAAGGAGAGCTCGGGCGGTATAATAGTACATCATCATGAGGTGGGAATAAAGAATAGTTGATTCCTCGTTGACGTCTTGTCCATTTACTTCTGATAGTACCGGGTCAATGTCTGACAATGTTTTCGTAATATCCGGCAATACGGACTGTTGCCACCCATCCAGAGCAATTCTACACTCACGAACCCTTGTGGCATTTTGGTGAATATCTACTGACCCGGGTACCACATTGGTGTTGATTGGAAATGTGTGCAGGAGGTCGTCTGATAGTAGGATGAACAGCTCCGTAGTCCGAATCACAATCCTGGCCAGCCGCTCCTTAGTTGCTCGGTTGTAGACTTTCGAACACTCAAACTCGTCCGCTAAATCTTCAACCACAAGAGGCGAGGACAAGAAATCGAAATAGCGAGATGTGATTCGGATTGGCCTTTTCATAAGCAGTGCCAGAGTATGTTCACGAATGATACAGCACCACCAGGTCCGCTTCAGGGCATTTCGCCAAGGCTGCATAGCCGTGTCATTCGGTGTGAGGGTAGCATATAGAGGGGCCTCTGCCATTTGGGCGTGTTCAATGGCTATGCTAAGCCAGAGCGGACTCGCTGCGTTGCGTGCTGACAACGCTTTGAAGGACAAAAGAAGTGCCGTTTGAGAGTTGCTCAAGGCCGAAGTGTCCGAGCCAAAGTCGTAGAGAAGTTTAGCACGACGATAGTATGTTGCTCTCATTGACCTAATATCGTCGAACCCCAACGACTGAACCGTGGTAGAAGGTATAAAGGTACAGGAGGCAAATAGCATCGCCTGAAACAGCAGCAGAGATATTGGTTTATCGGCAAACCCGTCAGTTGTGCCATCGTACGACTCCCAGAAGTGCCCCTCGTGTATCAAAGGTAAGAATGGATGGACGTGTAAGAAGTACTGTTTGACCAATTCGTCCAGTAGCGTCCGTTTTGGAACGAGAAAGCAGCCCTGCTGTTCCAGGAAATGGTATCCAGAGGGTTGGATAGTACAGGCTGGGTCGATGCGTAAGAATGAATATGAAAAGTACGGTGTCTCCACGGCATCCACAGCAAGAGCGTCGTCGAGCCATGATTCAAGTCCTGAATTTGACAGGAAGTCATTGGGGTTTCCGACTAAAATTGCATGGACAGTCAGCTTGACAGATTTCAAAGGAGTCAAAGAGGCGCTTACGTTCTTCCACCGTAGGTCTCGTTTCATCAACCATGGATAGACTGTCTTCTTGAGAACTCTGATCATCCTGGGACCGCTGATCATCTTGGGAGGTCTGGTGAAAGCCGTCGCCCTTACCATCATTTCCTGTCGACTTGTTTCGATCAACATCGAATAATCCATGTTGATCCTCCAATATGCCGGGCCTCTTTGCCTTCGTAAGCGAGCTAATACGGTAGCGTGAACTCCCACAATCGGTGAGCGAATAGCGGGTGCTGCTAGTAAGGTCAATCACTAACTGCTACATGGGACCGCGCTGGACTTACACTCTATCACCTCTTTCGTTTACCACACACTGAGTGCCGTCGAGGACACAATTCGTACATGAACGGTCCCTAAATGACACATCACAACGGACTTTACGTGCCCGGCAGTTCATGCATGCTCTCGGCGCTCTTCTTCGAATTTGTCGGGGGGCAGTTTTGGCTTGATCCTGCTGACCTCCAGGCTCACCGGCGCCGTGCCCGGTTTTGGGACTGGGGGTCATCTGGAGGGCGTATTGCGGAGGACACGATTAACAAGGTGAATTTAATGGAGACAGCCAGCAGCGAGCCCGCACAGCTGCTATGAAGTGCTACATATACGCGCAGAGTAAGCGGTCACTCGCAGGGTAGAGAGAGTTTCCGGGGGTGCCCGTATTTTGGCGGGGTGTAAGTCGGGTGCGGAGTATGTAGGCCGGGGTATTGCTGAAACAGTTTCTAATAACATACATAGAAGAGGCTAACATCTAAATCTCCAGATGCTTGATGTGCATTTTACGGCGGGGTGCCTCCAGAAGTTGTTCCCAAATATGGGATGCCCTCACAGCAGACACGAATGCCCCCATTGCGGAGGCCTCGGAGTACGTAGGCAAAACGGGAGGTCGGAGTATGGATCACTCCTGCTCCGAGAGGAGGGTAGGCGGCTCGGAGTAACCAGCTTCAAAGGCCCACGTAACTACTCGTCTCTCTGCAAGACCAGCGGAGATAGGGATTTTCATGTGGATCGCGAGTCAGGTAGTCTCCGGGGGAGGTAAATTCACGGGGCTTCAGCCTCCCAGTCATGTCTCGGAAGATTTAGGGTATGGTCGAAGAATACTCACCTCTCGACTATTGATGTACTCATACGCCGAAATAGCTGACATTTCCTGGACTAAACCGGTACAAGATTGAATTGGCGTTGAAAGGTTATTGAAGACGACAGAAGTGAGTCAACGCCCTCATGTTCCAAACCGATGGCGCGCGATAGCCAAACTTTGCCACCAAATCCGACGCCTCCCTTTTAGCATGTCGTTTACCTCTCTTTATATGAGGCTATCCATTCCCTTATATCATCTGTTGAACTTTGACCCAACTATATGGGAGGCCTCATAGTTTGACTCAGCTACAATTACACTTCGATACAGCTTTCGCGCCCCAAAAGCATGTGCACCAAAGATCCCGTCCTGCCTGAAAAAGGCAAGCGAAACACCCTTGTTACAAGTGCTCTCCCTTATGTCAACAACGTCCCTCATCTTGGGAACATTGTCGGCAGTGTTCTCAGCGCGGATGTCTACGCACGCTTCAGCAGGCGCCGAGACCGACCGACCATCTACATTTGTGGCACTGACGAATACGGCACTGCTACCGAAACCAAGGCCCTTGAAACCGGTAAAACCCCCAAGCAGCTTTGCGATGAGTTCCACGCCAAGCACAAGGAGGTCTATGACTGGTTTGAAATCAGCTTCGACTATTTTGGGCGCACCTCGACCGAGCAGCAGACCAGAGTTGTGCAGAAAATCTTCCTGGAGTTATGGGAAAACGGGCACATGGAGGAACGCACTACAACACAGCCTTACTGCGAGGAGCACGGTGCTTTTCCAGCTGATCGATTCGTTGAAGGTATCTGTCCCAAGTGCGGTTATGATGACGCCCGCGGCGACCAGTGTGACAAATGCGGTGGACTCTTGGATCCATTCGAGTTGATCAGTCCGCGTTGCAAGATTGATGGTGCCTCGCCTATCCCTCGAGAGACGAAGCACATGTTTTTATGCCTCAATAAACTTCAGCCTTCGGTCGAGGAATGGTTCGAGAAGACCAATAAAGAGCAGAAATGGTCGGCCAACGCTGCAACTATCACCAGGGCATGGCTACAGCAAGGTCTGGAAGGCCGTAGCATTACTCGTGACCTGAAGTGGGGGGTGCCAGTGCCTCTTCCCGGGTATGAAAACAAGATCTTTTACGTGTGGTTCGACGCTTGCATTGGCTATCCATCTATCACAGCTTGCTACACCGATCAGTGGGAGCAGTGGTGGAAGAACCCCGAGGACGTGAGGCTATACCAATTCCTTGGGAAGGATAACACACCCTTCCATGCGTGAGTGTGAGCGACCAGCTACTTCGTGGAATAAGTCTAACCAGCTGATCATAGCTTGATTTTCCCCTCTTCGCAGATTGGCACCAAGGACAACTGGACCATGGCCAGCCACATATCGGCTACAGAGTACCTCAACTACGAGAATGGAAAGTTCACGAAGTCAAGAGGCATTGGAGTTTTCGGTGACCAAGCAAAAGACGTAGGAGTCTCGTCTTCCGTTTGGAGATACTTCCTCATGAGCAATCGCCCAGAGTCCAGCGATACCCAGTTTGAGTGGAATGCATTTGCCCTTGCCAACAACAGCGAGCTCCTTGCCAATTTAGGTAACTTCGTCAATCGAGTCGTCAAGTTCGTCAACGCCAAATGTGAGGGCACTATCCCTCGTTTCTCTGCATCCTACACCGACGATAGTTTCGACTTTCCCGTTTGGATTACCAGGATCAACACTTTGTTACAGGAGTACGTCGACCTCCTAGAGAATGTGCACCTCCGTGCTGGGGTCAAGAAGCTCATGGAGATCAGCGGCGAAGGTAACAAACTTCTCCAGTACCGTCTGGACAACACCCAGCTCACCGAGAATCCCGAACGTACTAACACTATTATCGGTCTCGCACTCAATCTTTGCAGCCTCCTCGCCGCTATTGCTGCTCCTTACATGCCCTCGACATCTGATTCCATCTGTCAACAGCTTAATATCCACGCTTCCTTTCATTCCTGACGTCTGGACTCCCGATGGCCTGAAGAGCGGGCACAAAATTGGGAAAGCAGCTTACTTGTTGTCTCCCATCGATAAAAAATGGCTACAAAAGTGCAAGATGATGTTCGGAGGCTCCGCCGCATCGCTCACCGCCGAAGCAGCATCCAATAGTAACGCCGAGGCCAAGCATAGAAAAAGGGGCAACAAAGCAAGCAAGAAGACCTCCAAGATCACCGAGATGTAGCCTACGATCAAATAGGGTACGTCGATCTTAATTCCGATAATTATACTACCGAAGTCGACTCTAAGTCAGGTTTAATATATAAGTCAAGTCTGAGGTCAGGAAAGGGTCAAGGAGTCTTCAACATGTGGATAGTTTAGATAATTGAATACGAATCGACCTCGCCTAGCTCATCTATTGGCAAGGAAAACGTTGTTTTTGCACCCAAGACAAAGAGTGATGCCTCTGATAGAACGTCCACAGTCTCTTCATCCAAGACAACCAAATGGTTCACTCCAGTTACCCTTGTCCAGATCACAACGCAGATATGCAAGCGGAATAAAAGCAAGGGTAAGGGCAGTGGAGGTATCGAAGAAGACTATTCATCAGAGGCAGGTATTAAGGATCAGAATATGGGTGTCGGTATCATGACGCTTGTTCTTGGGACTTGCATAACAGCTGCGTCGGCGCTCTAGGGGGGCATGCTCTAGGGGTAGTCTTGTTGATTTGTTTTTTATTTTGAATGGAAGATAAGTTTACTTGGTACAACAAATTAATCCTATACGATTTGGAATGTTTTTGCTACAAAATCGTCTCTCCTTCCTATTGATCTCACATTATTCCTTCTTCAAACATGATTAAAAGACATTGAATCTATAACTACAAACCCGAGCAAGCACCAAAAAACGACTTGGCTATTACTTGAATCAAGAACGCTCAGTGATTTGAATTAGTTTCAAAGAGAGCCGTCAATAAACGGTATGTGCTGCTGCGGACATGTAATGTTGGACGGCGGAACTGCGCCTTGGAGGTACTTCTGAACGTATCCAAAGTAACAGTCTGATCCTCCTTGATTGGCGACGACGTGCTGTACTCGAGAAAAAAATCATCAGTAAGCAAGATATCCTACATTGATAAGGCGATTTACAATAGACACTAGGATTTGACTTACCCCAACACCTTCTTGCAACAAGAGCACCGATCCAGGAAATTGAGAAGATAGCTTGCGTGCCCTAAAATGAATAGCAGGTTAGTGGCATGTCATGTTGTGGAGCAGTCCGGAGAAACGTACGACTTGACAGGTGTTCCAGGGTCAACGGTGTTGCTAGCGAGCAGAATGGGGAAGGACGTAGGCCTTTGTATTCCGCTTATCGGGTCTGCATTGAAAAGAAACTAATCAGTATTGATTTACGCGAGGTGTAATTTATACATTAGGAAGAAACTCGAATGGGGTGAGGAGTGAGGTTTGCGTACTCCGAATCGCCATGCTATCAGGCAATTGCGGCCGAAATGATCGACACAAGATAGTTCCCACAACGATTGGGTAGATATCACCGATGTACTTGCTCGTAGAGACCATGTATTCGACATAGCTCTTGAACTCCTCAATGGTAGTCAGCTTGTTTCTTCGATATGAATCAACACATCTAGTGACAAAACCAGCGTCGGACGTGATGCCTAGTCCGTTAGGTATTTCCGCGAGAGCCGAAGCGTTTCTGTTTTCTAGCTGATGCAGGGCCTCAGCTATGACTGGGAAGCCTGATCGTGGGGTGTAGATGTTATTGAAAAACAGAGCCTTAAGATCGGAATAGGTGACCATCGCTGGTAGCCCTTGACTTTGGGCTCTGCTTACAGCCACTGGATGACTCTGCAGCTCTTGGATGATCAGGTCCATTCTGGCGGTGATATTAGTCGGCGAGGGTCCCCAGAAGGAACATTTGTCGGGGCCGGCGGAGTGGCACAAGTCAGAGAATTTCCCAATGGTCTCGTCCATCTGGTCGGCAACATCCCTCCAGTTAGCTTCATAGTATTGCTCCGCATCCAAAACACCGTCAAGTATCATTCTCTCAACTCGGTCGGGAAACAATGAGGCAAAGGTCGCTCCAATGACTGTGCCGTAACTGATTCCGTAAGCCCACAGTTTGGCATTAGATGGTGGTTGTTGGGCCAATGTGGCCTCGGCTTCGACAAATGTGAGCAAGTCTTGGGCGACAGCAGGAGTAGTGACATAGTATCCGTTGGGTAGATCCTTTTCTACGGCCTCGTTGCACCACTCGCCGTAGATACTAGCCGAATAATACTGCTCCTGGAGTGACTCCGATGAGACGTTGGTAGCCCCTGTGGCATGCAGTCGATTGAAGGCTAGTCTTGCCTCTGCATTCCCGCGAAAGCAGTCAATGTTCAAACCGCTGTTGTTCACACCGCGAGGATCGAAAGACACGAAGTTGTACTGTTCTCCGAACATCTGCCCTATCATAGACCGGTACTCGCCAAGAAGCTGGGTACCAGAACCACCCGGACCGCCTAGCAAAAGATCAGTTGGTTACATGAAATTTAGGTAACTGTGTAAACGATTCGCCTGCGCCTTACCAGGGATGAGTACAATGCTTGGCGATTGGGCCGTGGCATTCTTTCCGGCCAGTTTCATAAAGGCGATGGATGTGTTGCCAAGACTTCTGTTTGAATAATCCAATGGAACTTCCAGCTTAGAGCACGTGAAATCGTCGAAACATGGAGTCCACGTTAGATTAGGAGATGGAGTAAGCTAAATAGTTAGAACGTTTTGGGATCTTCGATCTCATTGTGGAGGGAGCACCATCTCACATCTTCAAATCCATGGACCATTCCTCTATTGCACAAGCTATCGACATTGCATGCAAAGCTTGCCAAAAGAATGAGCGCAGCAGCAAGTCGTTTCATCGTTGCTCGTGGGAAGCGCCGTGTCGAGTGGGGTTTCTGGTTTGTTTGCTGCGAGAGAAATAGTTGTTGACATTGCCATTGTAGCCAGCATGATCACGACGCGGAGACTGAGCACATTTATACAGTTGAAGGTTTAGAGAGATATGACGATTAGCTTCTCGGCTTTGATGTTTATGAGGTCATATCGTCCAGTTGCATCCACAATGTCGCATGAGCAGGCTTCTTGGTGCTCAGCGTGTACGAAGAAGCCAATAGCTATCCACTCCACCGTCACCAGGACTTACTCTTCAGTCCTTGCCCATTTCAACTACATACATAGCCTTGTTAGCACAGGGGGAGAACCTCGCCCCTTCTGGTCCCTTGCCTGTGCGAGCTGGCCAATGAGTACGCATTTCTACTCGTGCTGACGTATTTTAACAACATCTGAGCCACGGAGCCAGTCGACGCAAGATCCTTGTTTCCGCTGTGCCGTTATTAGTGGCTTGGCCTCGGCATATAAATACAAATTAAGAAAGGCTTGTTTCTTGTGCCCCGCCTGTACGAACAAGCCAATCAGTAGCCATCCAAGCATCACAAGACGCTGATCCCAAATCCTTCCCCAAGATCCTCTTCTTTTTCTGTCTTCAATATTGTAATTGACAGTCGCAAGTGTATGGACAGACGGACCGGCCAACAACACTAGGGTGCGCTATAATGACGTTGTAAAATTGAAGGGAGAAACAATAGCGTAATACAAATTTACTGGGGTGTACATATGACTGATGTATACAAGCCTATTCCAGCCTTCATTTGGATTTGGAAGTTTGGCCCTCGAACTTGTCTATGCTTTTTAGAGCAAGTCTCGTGAGCTCTTGCGTATACTCATCCGCCAGCTCCTCTAATGATGAGACTTGGCAGTCTTGCAAGAACTGCTTCCATTTCGGCCAATGCTCGGGCTCAAATCCTTCCGTCTTTCGAGGCCAGCCAGCCTTGTGCGCGCGGCGCTTCTGAGTATCTGTCCAGACCTTCTTAGGCGCATAGATGAACCACATGCACATAACTCGCACGTCTTCCGCTGTGGCCTGGTACTTCTTCTGGAATATGCATGTTAGGGCGGGGTGGCTCCAGGTAATGCCCTTGTTGTAAGCGAGAAACCCCATTTCCGAGAGCCGGGCGAGCCAGGCTGTGAAGTTTTCCAACTGGTGGCCATCGCCGTCAACATCTCCAACATCCGCTCCAAGTAAGGTCAGCTAATTGAGCCTCATTCTCGAGGGGTTGAGTGATATTGATGGAATACTTACAACCTATCGTAAAATAGTCTGCCATTTTCATGCCTATCTCAGGCATATCTGTCCAGAAGCTCATACGATATGAATCCTTTACCACACCGGCCCCTGTAGGGTCGGTCACAGTTTGTTGCTGGAGCTGGACGCAAAAGTCGATGAGCTTAGATTGTCGGTCGTATCTGAGGCGCCTTGACAAGCCATGAATGGTATCCGCGACATTGTCAGCGTGGTTATACAAAGGGTCGTCAGTTTGGTCATCAGGAGAAGAAACGGCTGTCGGAGATGCTGCCGCAGAGGTCAGGGCAGTAATTGCCTCTACGGCCCTGGCCACGGAGTAATCGTCCTGAGTGATCATGTCGACGATGACCTCGCCCTCCGATCCGAATCGCAGCTATTCTTCGTCAATAAACAGAGACGACTTTTTCATAGCATACTTACATCATTGAATGTGTCTGGTAGTGTCTCCCGCGCGGTTATAGTGGCGTCCACCCGGGTAGAAAGGATTCGGTCCCGATGAGGATCAGTCAGCTTTTTAATAAACTGACAGGTGGATGGATCAAGTTTGGAAAATCTATGGCGCTGGTTCAATCTATCATGTGTAGGGCGAGAAGTGATAATCTGAATGCCGCTGGGTTTGAGAGAATAGAGGCCGTACATGCGTCGAGCACTCGCCATTCGCGAATAAGATGACACGGCATGCCTTGTTAGATCGATTCGGGCATGTGGCCGAAGTAATACTTCTGAGAGCTTTGTTTCACACGCCATGTCATTCTCTGCCAAGCGTCAGAGGAGTTGGGAAAGGCAGAGTAAGAGTGGAATCGTGGAGTTAAAAGTCAGTGACTGTGCTCCACTAAGAATACCTAGGTACGTTAAGGGTTGTGCCTTTTTAATGGAATATACTGACTAACTAGGTACATACTGTTGGTCAGCAGTGCCATTCATTTAACAACACTGGCTCCAGCAAGGATTTATGCTACAGTATCCGGTATAAGTAGGGGCTTACACCCACTGTATTATGCCCTAAGAATCCAAATACATCCAAACCAACATCCACACCATGGGCGAAGCTCGAAGCTCCGAGGCCAAGATGGACAATCAATCATGGAGAAAAAAGCCTCGCAAATTCGCCCCAAAGTCAAGACTAGGCTGTAAAACGTGCAAGTGAGGCTATGCGCCCTCTCCTATGGTTCCTCCGTATTTGAGAAATCAAACGCTGACACTCAATCTTGGCACAACTTCTAGAATACGGCGGATCAAATGCGATCTGGCTCAGCCTTCATGCTTGAAGTGCCGGTCCACAGGTCGCACCTGTGACGGTTATGGTGATGTCGCTGATGTCCCCTCGACTTTCAGTGCCGAGGTTGGACACGAACGTCACGACATCGAGCACCAGACTACCGGCCAAGATTCCACAGCTACAAGTGTGACAGTACGAACAAGATATGACATTAAACTCGATGGAGTCCTCCTACAGACCCCTGGAGCTTTCATGATCTTACCAGTAACTGAACCAAAACAGGCGGAGGCTCTGGGCTTCTTTGAGAATGTTGCGATAAAAAATATCAATGAATATCGGCCATGCAGTTCATGGCGTAAGACTCTCATGTTCTTTTCTCAAACCGAGCCATCAGTTCGATGTGCCGCCATTGCTCTGGCCCTGATGCACCGCAATCAGCTGGATCGAGTTTCTGGCTACGGTTTACAACAACCACGAGTCCCGGACGACGCTCCCTTGCTTTACTACAATCGAGCCATTCAACTGCTTCTTAGCCAGAAGAGTAATGATGACACTCAGGCAGCAGCCATCACTCTTTTGGTTTGCTATCTATTTACCTGTTTTGACCATCTGGCTGGCAACTATGTCCAAGCCATGAAACACCTCCGCGGAGGCATAGAGCTCTCTCGTAACATCGATCAAACGACGTCGAACGAACATGGCGCCTTTTATGATGTAAAACCTTCGGGAGCTCAAGACCTCATTTATCAAGTCACAAGACAATTCCACCGCCTGGACTTGCAGGCTGTGATGTTTCTCATCGACTGGACGCCTACCGATAGTCAAGACAGCTATTTTCCCCAGCTCTCAATATCAAATACTACCTTCCAGTCCATCGAACAAGCGGCCGATCACCTCCAGATCCTCGTTACTCAAGTGATGAGACTACGTAACACGGAGCAGGAATTATCTCCACAGGGGGAGATGCCCCCATTGCCACCGCCATTTAAGGGTATCACCCTTGGACAGCTAGAATCATGGTCAGATCTTTTCGAACACATGTTGCAACAAGAAAACTCCCATGAGACAGCATCTGAGTCAAATGCTCTGATCTCTCTGTTGCGTCTGCAACATACCATAGCATGGACTTTGCTCAAAAGTCCCGGCCCTGAAAAGGAAATGGGCTATGACAGCTTCCTACCCCAGTTTCGGCAATGCGTGGCCCTGGCGCGCGACGTAGCGGCAGCCCATGAACGGTATTCAGGGTCACTGAAGCCTACTTTCACGCCCGAGATTGGAATTGTCCCCGTGCTCTACATGATTGGGGTCAAATGCCGCGATCCTACAGTACGTCGCGAGGTTTTGGATATTTTGCAGCGACAAACGATACAGGAGGCGGTTTGGGACAGTATCTCTACTGCTCGGGTAGTAGAACGGGTGATCGAGATTGAGGAGGACGGGTCTCGAGAAGGGGAAGCGATACAGAGTATGGAGCAAATACCTGTGTGGAAAAGGGTTGAGGCGATGTCTTGGGTACTGTCTCCTGGCCAGATGGACATTACGTATACTTTCTGCGAGCGGGAGGGAATACATCTTGAGTCTCTCTCAATATAAACCCTCATCGGAATCCCAATTCCCGTGATTGGCGAGTTACTCGCCCCGTTCCTTGTATGCTAGCAATGATGAAGTCAAAGAACTACGGTATCCGACGGAATCTTAAAGTCCAACGGACGTTTATACAGTGCAAGGGACCCTGTCTAGCATCCATCAGTATCTTTGAGCCCATCAAGCTGTCAGGATATGAAGTTGATGGTGGCAAAACTGAGTTAGATACTGCCGAATGTCTATCTCAACGCCAGCTCGGCTAGCAGCCCTTTTTCTACCCTTACGACGGAGAATGAACGAGAAGAGAGTACGAAACGATGTAAGAAAAATGTCCTACCCATGTCATGCCAAGCTCTGCGAACGGGGAAGGATGCTGATCCCACGCTAAAGAGAAAGAATTCACGAACGGCGACTAAAATTCACGCTTCTTCATCATCAATTGTTTCTATCACAAATTTCAATGATGACCGACTCTCTTCCAAGCAGTCTCACGAGTCGCATTCCTCCAGAGGTATTCAACGAGATATTTTCACATCTCCCACAGAATGCACTCCTCGCATTCAGGGCATTGGATCACCGTTTAGGCGCCCTCGCCACGGCCCACGCATTCAGACACGTTCATCTTGGTGCACGGGAGGACAAAGGCGACCATGAGCTTCTTATCAACGTGGCTCGATCTGAAAACCTTCGGCATCTCATCCGTGAGATAACATGCGATACCTGGGTCGGCTTGAACTTCAGGTACAATGCCCATGCGAGTTACCCTTTGCCATCCGAGTTTCTCAACGCACTCCCTTATCTACGTTTTTTTCGTAACCTCAGCACGCTGCACGTGGTTTTTAGCTCATTCTGCGGGCACACCTTTTTTGACCCCTATGAATCCATCGAGGAGACCACCGATTTCCGTTACAGAGTCCTAGACACCGTGTTTCGGTCGGTGGCTGGAACATGGTCTGCTGAACAGCAAGCAGCCACCGATCAAACTCTGCAGGAGATGTGCTATCAGATGAAGTACTTTGAGCCTGTGTACGACCAAATTGTCCCGGATGTCAGTGATGATGACATTGCCAGCCGCATACCTCTGAAGACCTTGACCATCAGCAATTTGGGCGACTACAACGACGAACGGCTCACAAACTCCGACGCCTTCAAGTCAGTGCTTGAATCAAAAGAGCTCGTTGATCTCAAGTTGCAGATCACCACGCAGGCATACGATCCTGCTCCCGAGGAGGAGCTCTACCTCTGCGACAAATATGATTTTTTTGCCGCCCTCCCCTCAACTTGGCTATCTCCGACCGTGGCAGGCAACCTAAACACCATGTCCCTTTACTGTCGCGATTACTGGGGTTGGAACCCCAAGATGGACTTCCGCGCCGTTAGGCCTGGCTTGGGAGTCGATTCGGGGTTTCCCAATCTCAAGGTCCTTGCCCTCGGGAGATATGTCTTCAGCCACGAATGGCAGGTAGATTGGATTGCCTCACTGGGGCGCCAGAATGGGCGCGGGGGGCTGGAGGAGCTTTATCTCGACAACTGCCCCATAATGTATCACGCATACCACCTGAAGCCCTTGGATGAGAGCACGACGGTTATTGGAAAGGATAAAAACGGAGATGGCATTGTCGTTTCCAACGAAGGTTACCACAGAAGGGATGTACTCGCCCACCGGCCACCTACCCAAAGGGGTGGTGGTAGAACCCATGACAAACGCGAGTTTCCTCTTCGATGGCACACCATCCTGTCCCAATGGAATGAATCCATGAATGGTCTGCGTGTGTTCAAAATGGGATGCGGCGCCCTCACTTCATCTTCGGTTAACATGGGTCACTTCTTGCAAAACCATGGAGACATTGGGAGAGGGGACTGTTCGATAGATCGCCATGCCTTCCGATATTTCGATTGCCTATCTCCACCGCCCGAAGATACTCCATTCGAAGACATTGACGACGATAAGTATGCTTCCGGTGTAGGACTCTCCCAAGATAGGAACCGTATTCTCCAATACGCCTATTTTGGGGGCAGCGACACATGCTTGGTAGATAGAAATCGGCCATGGTACAGGATCCCCGAGAGGGAAAACACGGATTCTCAGGATGAACTTGCGTTGGAAGTCTTTTCTGCTACCGTGAAAGCCAGGAGAATGAGAGGCTAGTGTATTGGTTGATCCTAGTGTCGCAGATGTCATGTCAGGAAGGAAATCGGGTAGAGTCAGGGGATATCGGTTGAATACGTTGATGGTTCTGTAATGAAGGGCTGTAGTCTCACTCCTTCTGTCTTTCTCATTCAATTTGTGTCAATTTATATTACAATGCGTTCCTACTCGAGACTCGGGCACCCAGCAAATGCTCTGGTATTGTTGGGTTGGTATTTATTGGGCTCTTCGCCGTCGTGAAGTATTCGCCTCCGTCTGCGAGTCCTCGTACTGGAGTTTGTGTGCTTGTCGATAGGCTCAGCGTTTCTTCAATCTCTGGATACGTGGGCACATTATCCCGCTGTCGCTGTATTGGAGTTACGGTTCGTTGAAACGACCTCGACGGCACCACAACACGAGGCTTCTCCGGCGAAGACTCGGTTGAACGAGGGCCAGGATAGGGCGGCAGTTGCTGATCGTAGCCACCGGGATCCCTCGAGTCGTCTTCTCGAATTCTTATTTCCTCGATTCGAACCTGCAAGTGCACTGGGATGGTAGCTTCGACTCGGCTGGCCCAGAGCTCCGACCAGCTTCGCTCAACCATGAGTAGTTCCGGATCCGAAAGAACTCGAACTAGATTTCGGGTACAGGAACTAACGAGCATCCATAGTTCTTGTGATTGGGTGTAGATTTCTTCATTCTTTTCGATTTCTTGTAAGCGGTCAATGTTCCCCTTGGCCCAGTTCTCGAACTGACGAGGTCCGCAGTGCACCAGGTAATCAAGCACCTGTAGAGCTCTGAACACAAGCAGAGCATCGACTGTATCCGAGTACCAGAAATAGAACTCAAGACTTCGCATCACACCCTTTGTTTCTGGAGGCCTAATTTAGATCGGTTAGCACGGCTCCGAAGCCACGGACAATACCAGAATCGGCACATACGACTCGAGCGTTCGCTCAGCTATTTTCTGCAGCTGCACCAAACTGGGGGCCTCGCTTATGTTGCCTTCCACCAGCAGCTTTGCCGCGGTGACACCCTCATTGAAGTCTTCGGGGACCACCTCTTTGGGCGATTTCCCCTCGTTACAGTCAGGACGAGGCTCGCGCTTCGATGTGCCCCGATCGCTGCGACGCTCCATCTCGTCCAGCTGGCAGCTGCTGTCTTCAAGGGCTGAAGGAATGGATTTTTGGTCAGATGGCCCGTGCGATATGCGTGTCAGATAAAGGCAGCGTCCCAAAAACGTCCTGGTCCGATTCAATGGCTGCCTTGATTTTGCCACGCACTCGGCCAAGTCTTGCCGTCTAGAGGGCCAGAGGATTGATGCTCGCGATTCTGGAGCTCGCAAAAGATTGGAAGAATTGGGGAAATTTCTGCTTATCGAATCTGGGAGATTAACAGCTCACCGACGAACCCTTGCTGGCCGTTAGAGAATCCCGGTACGCACGTCAAATGACTTCACTGCGCCATGCCTGGACACAGTGACAGAGTGACAACTCGCTCAGGACAGGGGTATATAACATGGGGGTCCCCGACATTTCGGTGGCGACGTATCCAGCTGCCAGGATCAGTATTCTGATTCTTCACTCTTCTATCAACTGAACTTTTTTGAAGCTATTGCGAGTGTTGAGGAGTTCCATCATAAAAATAGTTATCATCTAGCTCCTACCGACCAGCAAACAACAATCGTATCATATACCCCTTCATCGAAATTGCCACCATAACACGTTGATGTAACTAAATTCCAGGGTATAACCGTACCGAGATGAATCCAGATTCTAGTCGAGAATTCTAGGACCGGAGAGGTTTCAAATCCCTCTTGATTGGCCATCAATATCCACGTTAAGATGATAGGGAGAATGAGGATCCTCACATTAATGGAGGATCACTCGCGCCGTTGTTGCTTCTTTACTGATAAAAATATTTGTCTCTGGTCCGTACAAACGCAATATACTTGCGACTCCTTGCAGCACTGCCTCGACTGGTAATGCATTGAAGCTTTCAAAGCAACGTCACAATTTCAGGTATCACTGCAGCAACTCATACTGTCGCATTCGACACCGAAACCTTTGCGAGCCAACATTTAAGCTCGGAAACCGGCAAGTGCCCCAAGTTTGAGTTAGGAAGTCTCCGAAGCATATGCATATTCCCTTACAGGGGGCAATGTCATCGTAGAAGTCGCCTATTAGATCCTCACACAGCCATTGGTTCATGAAGGATGAACAAATATCTATTATCAGTACCATATAATGTGGTTGCACAGTCAAATGGGGCAATCAATGCGGGTTGGGTGTCATACCCCCGAAGAACTTGGGTAAACACCTCGGTATGACTTCTGTGCCTTCAAGCTGCCTCCGCAATGAGGACCTAGGATCCTATATCGCGTCTGAGATACATTGAGAAGTCCGACTGATACAGGGCGCTAGTTTTGGTGTGTGGTAGTAATAATGTATTTTCGTGACGGAGAACATTCTTTTCTATTGTTGTGATTGTGGTGGCCATTAACATCCTCTTCAAGACAAAGTCGAAAGACGCCATAGTAACCAGACTTTGCGTCATGAAATTAGAGAAAAGTATCAAAATTGAAAAGGGCTATAAGCTTCATCACTAAGTTATTTATATTTCGGCTACCTTATCTACATTGAATCACTCTTCTGGCTCATGAGGCCCGGCAATATGTGGCTCTAGGTTAGGTCGGACTGAGGAGTCAAGTTTAGGGTAGGTAGAGCCCGAGAATGGGTCGGTTAGAGGGCCAATCAACAACAGGCGATAACGGACGATAAGCATAAAAAAGGAGACTCCGAAATTAGAACGGGCGGAACTAATAATAGCCGATGGCTGCTGATGGGCTTGAGGGATCTTGATGCTCGACACATCACGCAGCTGTGCGATTGAGACACAGCGGCTGCAGACGGCTAGTGCCTTGGCGATCAACAAGCTTTATCCAAGCTTGATTCTTACTATATTCGGCTGGGCTCGCAAAGCGGCGGGGCCAGTCGGTGGCGAGTGCTGGCCGGCTGGACCTCAGCCCTCAGGGGATCCGTGGACTATGGCTGCAGTCTCCCAAAAGTACTCAGCGATTGATTAGCCACTACCGACCAAAGTACTTGCGCGCATTGATTAATAAGGATCTGCCCGGGTCTTCGGCTCCATGGTGAGACCTTCTAGGCACACAGGTGGTGAAGGTATTAGTAGTGTCTTACTGGATGGTGGGAGAGACCCGCAGAATAACTCTGTCTGATCGTCTCACGCACCCATGGACGCATTATGATTGGGTATGTGTGCCTCGCCGTCCCAAGTATTACCATACACAGCCATCGTGGTGCATATTCTGACCGAAATAGCTGGCTGCAGTCAGCGCACCTTAGCTTATGTTCTCCTCGCCCAAAGTTGACATTGCCGAACGTGTGATAGCAAAATAGCCAAGTGTGTCAGCGCCCCTGGGACTTTGAGTCGCATTCGACCAAAATTAGCTGTTGAGTGTAGCATTTCCGGTCCTGCTTCCAAAGAGAATGGCCCAAAGTCCCAGGAGGCTGAGTACGCTCGAACATGAACGGTTCACCAAGCTCGGGGGCGCATGATGGAGTGATGGAGTGATGGAGTCCAAGGCTTGTCTCATGCTGATCAAGTGCCACACCGTACAAAGTATACGGGAGCAGAAGATATAAAGAGACTGTGATATCGCATCGGACCAACACACTCTTCTCACTTCAGATCCAATCCAATCACGCAGCCCTTCCCCATACAGTCCATTTTGCGATACATTCTCTTTTTTTCTTCTCCTTTTCCCTTTTCTTTTCTTTGTCATCATGCGTCTCACAAACGCATTCGCCATCGCCCTGGCATTCGCTGGGGCGTCCGTGGCGCTGACTCCCGATGAGCAGCAGAAGCAGGCCTTCGCTGAACAGGAGAAGCAGCTCGCGAACCAGCAGAAAGCCATGTTCGCGGAGCAGAAGCACGCCATGGCCGAACAGGCGAAGCAGTTCACAAACCAGAACAAAGCCTTCCAGGAGCATCAGCAGCACGTCGAGCATGACCTGGGCATCACCCCCCAGAAGTCAAAGAGCAGCCAGTCGCCCAAGAACTCCCCGGCCGACAGGAAGAAGTCATCCCACAAGGAAGGCGGCCTTTCCAGCAAGCACCGGACTTCCAAAACTGGTGGTGGGAACAACAGACATTCCCAGGGTAAGGGAGGGAAGCACGGACTGTCCAACGGGAAACGTCCAGGCAAGCTCAACGGCGGCAAGAGCCGCGGTGGCAATAGCAAGACCGGTCCCAAGGGAAAGCACGTTTCCAAGAACAAGAACCACGCCGGCCGCCCTGGCAAGGGGAAGGCTACTGGCTCCAAGGGAAAGCACCTCACCAACGGCAAGGGCAGGACTGGCTCTAAGAGCAAGACAGGCCCTAAGAGCAAGGCCACTGGCTCTAAAGGAAAGCATCTCACTAAGGGCAAGGGCAAGAGCACTGGCGCTAAGGGCAAGCATCCTGTGAAGGGCAAGGGCAAGTCCACTGGCTCCAAGGGCAAGAGTGTCAAGGGCAAGGGCAAGTCTACTGGTGCCAAGGGCAAGAGTGTCAAGGGCAAGGGCAAGTCTACTGGTGCTAAGGGCAAGAGTGTTAAGGGCAAGGGCAAGTCTGGCACTAAGAACAAGGCTGGTTCCAAAAACAAGGCCGGTGCTAAGGGCAAGAGTGTCGCCAAGGGCAAGGGAAAGACTGGCTCCAAGTCCAAGGCCGGCTCAAAGGGCAAGGCCGGTGCTAAGGGCAAGAGTGTCGCCAAGGGCAAGGGCAAGACTGGTTCCAAGAGCAAAGCTGGTTCTAAGGGCAAGAGTGCCGCCAAGGGCAAGGGCAAGACTGGTTCCAAGTCTAAGGCCGGCTCAAAGGGCAAGGCTGGCTCCAAGGGCAAGTCTGTTGCTAAGGGCAAGGGCAAGTCCGGCACTAAGAGCAAGGCCGGTTCCAAGAGCAAGGCTGGCTCCAAGGGCAAGCAAGCTGCTAAGGGCAAGGGCAAGTCTGGTACCAAGAGCAAGGCTGGCTCTAAGGGGAAGTCCGCTTCCAAGACCAAGTCTGGTTCCAAGAGCAAGGCCGGTTCTAAGGGCAAGTCCGCTTCCAAGGGCAAGTCTGGTTCCAAGAGCAAGGCCGGTTCCAAGGGCAAGTCTGCTTCTAAGGGCAAGGCTGGTTCTAAGAGTAAGGCTGGCTCCAAGAGCAAGGCCGGTTCCAAGGGCAAGTCCGCTTCTAAGAGCAAGTCTGGATCTAAGCCCAAGGCTGGCTCCAAGAGCAAGACTGCTTCCAAGGCCAAGTCTGGCTCCAAGGCGAAGACTGCCACTAAGAGCAAAGCTGGTTCCAAGCCCAAGGCTGCCAGCAAGAGCAAGGCTGCTTCTAAGCCCAAGGCTGCATCCAAGCCCAAGGCCGCAGCTAAGGCGAAGGCTCCAGCCAAGGCTGCCTCCAAGGGAAAGAAGGGCAAATAAATGACTGGAAGCTGATGTAAGAGAGCGGTTGGATCAATAGTAACATTATATATTATTGGTCTAGCTAAGGCGTTCTGGGTGGAGGGAAGCAGCACAGGCAGGAAATTGGGATAGCGCGTGGCCTTTGTGGAGGATTTGTCTATTTTTTTACTCATTCGTTTTACTTTCGCTTTTGTATTTATTGAATTGTTTGAAGGACTGTAATAGTCTTTGTTGTTTCATACCTCACAAAAAGTTCCCTGGTAGAAGTTGAGACTGAGAAGAATTCGCATGATCGTAAGCCAATTTGCCCAAGCTCAGTGGCACAACGTAAGGAACACCCAGAAAAAAACAGTGCTTTTCTCACCCGAAGATTGCTCCCTTGTTATTTTTGGAACAGTGCCGTCATCTTGGGGCGAATGAAGGCTAAACCAACCAACCAGGATGGAGAGTAGGGTTCCATCCAGCTCCGCCACGACCGAGAAGAGGGTCCAGAGACAGGGTTGAATGTCAGACTGTCATCTTCAATCAGCAGCAATCATGTGCACGCGGCCTGGCCCAGCCTGTGGTCAACCTCAGTGCAACCAGCCGGCGCGCCGAAAGGGATCCCAACGCTGCGGCGGATGACTGACGCTGGACTGGACCAGTTGCCGACGTCGTGAGCATGGCTCGAGAGATCGAGTACCAGCCTCTCAGCCAATCCCGCCATCAGATCCGTCTGCTCCACATCAGGCGCTTCGTGACGGACCACAACAGCCCGCTGGTGTGCCGTCTCGAGATATTCGACCGCCTCGAGTGCCCCCCTTACACGGCACTGTGCTATGCCCGGGGCTCTGGACACCCGACAGCCGTCATAACCCTCAATGACCGGGACTTCTCGATACAGGCCTCGGTGGCCATGGCTCTGCGGGAAATATGCCTCAAAAAGCAACACCCTCGCGTTTGGATCAGCCAGATATGCATCAACCACCAGAACGACAGGGAGAAATCCTACCAGATCCGCCATTTACGGCATGTCTATAGCTCCGCCACCTCTGTCATTGCCTGGCTTGGCCCTGCCTTTGAGAATAGCGAGGTACTCTTCTCACATCTTGCCCAGATGGCTACCATGGCCCAAGAGCACGACTGGAACGGCCTGGTGAGGCTGCACGGCGACTTTTCCCATGTGCAGGTTCTCGCGAATGCCTTTTACTTGCTGTGCTCCCGACCATACTGGAGCCGGCTTTGGTCGATACAAGAGTTTGCAGTCGCGTCTCGCGTACTGATTATGTGTGGAAATTCGACAATTTCCCCCAGGATGCTGGATGCTATACAAGACCTCATCGATATTCTCCAAGAGGCAAGTTTACGACGGCCTTCCAGAAGAAAAGAGCAGCTCATACAGCGACTCAAGATGGCCTTTTATCCTAAATCTCGCAGCTACATGGCAAATCTGTTGGCTCGCCGGGCAGCCCGTCAGTCGCAGCATGGCAACCGTGAAACGTTCTTCCAGGTACTAGTGAATTGCTTGGTGCTGCATTTCGAATATAATCACACAGAAACAAGAGATCCGCGCGATCGTTTGTTCTCACTATTACACCTTTCGGCGGACTATCATCACTTTGAGAGACTCCTGGACTATTCTCACAGCTGCGAAAGAGTGTACCGACACACCGCCATGAGCTTTTTGCAACAGGGAAATATAGATCTCTTATCATACTGCCAGTTTCCGAAAAGAATACAAAATCTGCCAACATGGGCTCCAGATTGGTCCATGCCTTTGCGCAATCCTTGCTGCATGGCACCTTGGGTGAATAAATTCGCAGCCTCGGGGGATACTCGAAGCAAACAAATCCTAGGCGAAACCAGCTCGGGGAAGCTGTCACTCAAAGGCTTGAAAGTTGACATCATCAAAACGTGCGGTAATATCTGGGACCCAGACTGGGAACTGCCACTCAGCAAAGAAGGGGCCCTTGATTTCATCGAAGACATTTTACAATTATGCAAACAGTCCCCACGCGTATGGGTAACGGAGGAGCTTTCGGACGCAATTAGAGTTGCAGTTTTGGATGGCGCTAGATGCCCCGACCATGATCTTCACAGGCGTATCCGGGCAGCAGGCCAGCCTGCCGAGCTCATCACGGCGTATGAAAGATTAAAATCTTGTGACGAGAAGCAGCAGCTGGACGACAAGGACTGGCTGGTCTGCTCGCTGCATTACCTCCACTCGCGGAGACCATTCATAACCGCGGCTGGGTTGATAGGTCTCGGCCCGTCACATATGGAAGAGGGAGATGAAGTGTGTATTTTATATGGAGGGAAAATTCCCTATCTGGTCAGACCTCGGCAGGGAACCGAATGTATATTGATCGGGGAGGCGTTTGTTCATGGGTGCATGTATGGAGAAGCATTGAGAGGAAGCATAGAGGAAAAGTCATACCTAATAGTATAATACGTAACATACTTTTGGTTGTAAAATACAACCTAAAGGATAACGAATGCAGAGCAATTCTTTGTATTTCTTCATATTATCATGGTCCAAGGTGGGAACTTTTATTCCTCGGTTAGAAATTTTGCAAATTCGCCGAAGATATGCTTGAGATTGGAAACCAAAAATTTTCACGAAGTGATTTAGTAGCCTTCCGACTTCGCTTTCTTTCGCATACGGCCGGCTCAACAAACAGGTACTCGTCCGCAACTAGACTGATCTTGATCGTCACAACTTCACAGTTTATGGGTGTCATAAGGGTAGATCAGTATTTACCGAGTTCTTTACCGGGTCAAGTTGGTGGATAAATTGTTACCACCTTCCTTGTCAAGAAAAGGTGGTGATGCTTGCCATTTCCTACAAAAGAACCACACATGAGAGGAAGACACGAGAATGAAAGGGGCTGCAACTAACCAGGAAGCTGTAGTTTATTTGATTCTCCCAACGCCGTGTTTTAGAAATGGGCTCGGATGCAGTCTCTGAATTGAATATCAATGGGAATTCCCTGAGTATCATCCTGTGGCGTGGCAATGGGAGAGTCATCATGCGTAGCTTGTTTAAATCCTTCAATTGTCAATGAATATGAGTATCCAGACCCGTATGATAGGCCAGCAATGAAGAGCATTTGTCTAGCACCAAACTTGTCACTGGGGGCGAAATGGAGGCAAGTTGTGTGAACAGATCGTTTTGATGAGACAACGATCGGGTTTGTTTGTAGGAACGCGGAATCATTCCGAAAGAGTTGATAACATGTGACAGTCTGTATGTATTGCCAGTTGGAAAAGCCCCACTGATCGGTGAATTTCGGAAGTTTCCTTGATTCTTCATCCTCCATTAACAACTGTAGCACTTCACCCCACACCTACCGTGATGCTCTATGAAGCAATCAGGAAAAGGGGCACTGAGATATAGAGATTAAAAAAGGAAGCTATAACTTGTTGAACGTGAGAATGACTACATCCGGCACGAAAGGAGCATAATCTTATGCATATAGGACGCAGTTGCATATGGGACACAGTGTTAATACAGTCGGGATGGGCAACTGAACAACATTTAATAATGGCACTTTTGCATCTTATCGCTAACTTCATCTAGAGGCATACTGGAAGTATCGAAAGACGCCACGTTTGACCGATCGTATGTGCCATCTCAGCTCCCATGAGACTCTGCCTAGTTATGCACGCTGTCATACAGATAAGGCACTGTCGTACTGAGTCCACAGGACTGACGGAATGTTATGACCTGATGATGGTCCAGTTTAGGTTGCTACGTGGGTGGACTGTG